CTTAAGGAATTCTAATCAAATTAATTAGATCTGCCCGCTCACATCAATTGAGATGGAAGTTCAAGTTCTTTATCGACTGAAAAGTTTGACAACAAAATCCACTTGAACGGATAGGGATATTAGCCAAGTAATTTTGAGATCTTTGTTTCAACTTTTGAGTCCACCTATTTCTCCTCTTTCCTTGAAGGCTTAGATTCTAACTGGCACCTGAACATGGTAAAGTTTAACTACACAACATCTGGGAAGTTTATCAAGAACCTTTTGCTTTTCCTAATTTCTTCATCATGCGTTCTGTATTTTGCTTCAAATGTCCAGCCAAAGTTCCAACAACAAAAATCGTACAAATATACTGCTATCTCTTGCATTTCTTTAACTACTATAGTTATCGTTCAGATAATCAAAATCATAATCTCTTCCTAAATTTTAGGTAAACTAGAGGAGAGGATAGTGATATCTCGCAAGTGTACAATTTGCCTTCTTTGTACATTAGTGGACTTCAATAACATGTAGCTAGCATTCTTTACATTTTTTTCAATGTTATTTGGTTAAAACATCATTGTTTGGCTCTGTCATCAAAGTGGTACTATCTGATCAGTTGACATCTTAGGAGTGATATTGGCTCAAGAATGTGAAGACTGAATAATATAAAATAACCAGCAATGCAGTGAAATTTTGTCATTATTATTACAATATTTTTGGGGGTAGTAGTAGGAGTGGTTTACAGGATTATAAGTTGCTGATAGAATCATGAGGATATGAAGACATGAGAATTAAGTTGTACTTCAGAAAAAAGATATAACCAGGATAGATACAAGGGCAAGTATTTAAGTTAAAGCAATTGCTGTATGACAACTCCACAGGCTAAAGTTTAGACAGGATCATAGCTGAACTAACAATTGGAAAGCTGAACGGCATATACAATATCACATCTTTTTCAAACACTACAGTAGGACGACCAAATGATGGAAATCAAATAGACACTCAATTCAATTTAAACAAGATACATTATTTTCAAATGATGTACAGGAAAGCTCCTTTATTGCTCTTCAAACTGGGGGTGAATCAAGACTTTCAATCCATCATTTCCCATGTACCTCTGTGAATCTTGAATTTGCCTAGCAGAATCTGCAACTGACTGTGATGAATAATACAACTCAATTGCCTCCAATGTATCGATGCTTCGAAAGCTAGAGGGAATTTCCTGCAAATTTGGACATCCATCTAGCACCAACTGCTGGAGGCAAGGGAAGCTGCTACTTGAGGCACTCCATTGTTGAAGATCAGTGTTTGAAAGTTTCAAGAACTTGAGATGAGAAAAAGCCTCATCCATCACTTCCCAACGTGGTGCATTGAAGAAATTATCCTTTATTTTGAGAACCTCTAAGTTTGGTAGCATCCCAATGATTGACATTTCTTTCCAGTCTACGAAACTACCTACCAGAGTCAGCTTCTTCAAGTTTGGAGGAAACTTACTTGGTTGAGGTAAAAAGAATTTTGCCATATTTAAAGTCTGATAATCAAATGTTAACGTTTCTAGCATTCTTAATCTGGAAAGGTCAGGGAACTGAGCATGTTTCATAGCATCTGATAATGTTAAATGGCATCCTAAGTTTACAAGATTGGGCATTCTTCCCAATACCTCCTGTATAGAACTTGAAGGACGTACCTGAGAGATAGTTTGTAGATTGTACAGCACAAAGGGAGTTGAAGAACTCAAACTTGCACGTTCAAATTCCAGTTCCCCTGAATAATGCAAATGCCTCAACTTTACCATTTGCCAAATATCTTCTGGTAAAGTGACAATTTGTCCCTTTTCTGTGACAAGAATGAGGGTTTCTAGGTTCCAAAGTTTAGACAAGGGTGGTAGCTTTCGAAGGTTATAAATCCTAAGAGCCAAGTAGTTCAAATGAACAAGCTCCAGTATGTTAACAGGAAAGTGGTCCAGGATGATGTATCCTAAATCCAATACTCTGAGAAGTTTATAGACAAGCGAGTTTTTCTGCTGAAGGGAGATATCTATGTGTGTGAATTTGACATCATTTGGAGGTATGTAGTGGAAATCATAAGAGTGAAAGCATTTAATATTTTGTGGGCGTGAGCTTACATAAGGTAGTTTTGCTTCAATTTCCCGGACACCTTTATAGCAGTGGTCATACAAGGTAGGACGAGAAGGTGAGAATAGAGAAATTTGTTTATGTCCACAAATTGGTTGCAGGAATAAGTTATCCTTGGCTTTCTTGACACACAAATCTCTCAACAGGTCATGGACTTGACAAGTCTTTATCCCACCATTGGACTTTCTCTTGGAAACTGCAATCAGATTTCTGTCAACAAGATCTGTTAGATATTCCTCTGCCAGCTCTTCCAACTTTTTTTCCCCATTCTGTTTTACAAACCCCTCTGCAATCCATGACCACACTATTTTCTTCACAAGGATTTCATAGCCTTGAGGAAATGATCCAAGATAAAGAAAGCACGGTTTCAACCAATTAGGCAGGTGATCATAGCCGAATGCTAAGATGTCCATGAACTGCTCTTTACCACGAGTAGGTGAAGCTATGTCTGTAACTATATGCATCCACCACTCCGGTGATTTTTCTTGCTTTGCAACTCCAGCTAAAACAACAATCGCAAGAGGTAGTCCTCTGCATTTTGCAACCATTTCCTTCCCCAATTCCATCAACTCTTGGGGGCAACTTTCATCAGTAAAAACTTTACTTTCAAATAATTCCCAACTTTCGTCCTGGCTTAGAAATTGCAAAACCTGAGGGGAGCTGTTTGGGCTTATTTTCAGAACAACATCCTTCGTCCTACTTGTAATCAGTATTTTACTTCCGTTGCTATCATCTGGAAAATACTTCATGAAGAACAACTTCCAAGACAATGAATCCCAAATACCATCAATGACAATCAAATACCTCTTCCCCTTGAGTAACTTGTGTAGCTTCTCTCCCATTTCGTGAGGATACATTTTATGCAGAGAGTAGTTATCATTTGTGACACAAGTCAACAAGTCATGCAACGCGTTCATTTCCTCATTTAGTTGAGGCCCACGAGTCCATGCACGAACATGGAAGTGATGAAGAACTCGTGAATCGTTATACAATCTTTTTGCAAAAGTAGTCTTGCCAATACCTGCCACGCCAACAAGGGAAATCACTTCCAGTTCCAGTTGCTTCTGTTCCCCGGTAAGCCTATCCAGCACTGCTGTTGCTTCATCATCGAAACCTACCACTTCTTCTCCCAAAACAGGGCTACTACTCTTCAGTCTTGATGAAACCTCCTTGTTTGACATAGAAGCATTAATACCATTATGAACTTTAGGGATCAATCTCCTGTATAAACTAACCTGTGTTGCCCAAAAAGAAAGCTCTGAAGAATGCTGGAAAGAAATAGCAATATCTGCCCCAGAAATTCCATTGCTGTTTGCCAGAGCATTGTTGATATAAGAGTCAGTGGCATCTAATATCTTCAAGACCACGTCTCTAATCTGTCTAAGGAAGAAAGACTGGAGTATGTTGAAGTTACTGGGGGATTCTTTCATCCTTTTTAGACAGGATTTTATGATATTGAGGTCCTCATACAGAGAAATCACAACTGGACTCACTTCAGAAAGGATAGAATATGAGGTCTTGCTCAGCACTAATTCAATGTCCTCGAGAAGAAATTCTACAACAATATCTATTTCATCCATCTTGTTTCTAGTAATGGAAGATCTTTTCCTGAAACCTTATGGAGATAGGATGGTAAATTGAGCTCTCAATTGAGCATTCGTGTACTGAATTGTATCCAGAGGAATGAATGGTCTGCTTAGCAGTTGAATATTCAAGTGATGAGCTAGACTTTGAAGAAATCTACTTCTAGAAGCTATGAAGTTTTGGTTGACCAACCATTGTTTGATGGAAAATTCCCACATTGCTAATTAATACTAAATAGTCATTGTTAATTTAAATATGTTGACTATAACGTTTTGTATTTAAGTTGACTTAGTATTTTGATTCACCAAAAAAAAAAAGATAGGTGCCAAAAGCACTAAACCCCCCTAAGTTTTGGTGTAATTTGCACTTTGCCCCCAAATATTATTTTTGTAGCACATTCCCCCACTGACTAACGGTTTAGCAAAAAAGATATTAGTGACCTCAAAGTAATAATTAGTATAAAAAATACTTCAAAAGAAAATCCCCTTTTTTTTCTCGGGAGGATGTCCTTAAAGATAGAATCCAATTACTTAAGAAATTCCCATGCTCTTGAAATATATTGTAGAGTTAAATTAAGATCAATTCATATTGAAGATTAGTTAGTTTTTGGATTTTTATTTTAAACATCTTATCTGATAAGTTGTTGTATCAAGTAATTTGATTTGTAATTTAAAATCAACTTTGATATAATTTTATCTTGTAATTTGATTTTTTAGTTTGATAAAATTTTATTTTTTGTAGCCATTATCTTTGTAGCATAGTTTCTATATAAATTCTCAACAATGTCAATGACATTAAATAAACTTCTTATTATTTGCAAAAAGTAAAATCCTTTTTAACAATATCAATGACATGGGAACACCATGAATAATAGCACCCTTTTTTAAAAATTTTCAATTCATGTACCAAAAAACTATAACATAATCACCAAAAAAAAAAAAAAAAAGCAATACCATGAATGCCAAGCACTATTGAATTGAATATTGACCTCACTTCAAACTACCAAGCAATAGCAATAGCAATATTTGAAACTACCTAGCATTTGAAATTACTAGCAAAGTAGCAATAGTAAGCCAATGCAGACGGGCAGCAGCAGTACTGCTGAACTGGGGACGCCAATTTTGTTATTTGTCATAAGAGCAATAGTTCAACCAAAAATGTAAGCTCGAGAATTAAAAACTTTAGACAGACCAATATCCAATTACAATAATAAAAGTTCTAGGCAAATAGTTAGTTAAAGGGAATTTAAAAAATGAGAAAAAAGAATGAGAGAGAATTTTTTGCAATTAAGATTCTTGCCCTCTATAAGAAAGTGAATAACGAATCACATAATACATGTAGTCGAACATCAGATATGATGTATCCAGGAACACAAGGGCCATCAGAAGACAAGCAAACAATAGCACAACATGCTCCACTATATATGCTTGGCAACATGCTACGATTGTGAAGCCCGCGGGAGTAGAACATGGCAATTGCGGTGACTACGTACTTGAAGGGCAGGGCAGCATAAAAACCCTCAGTTGCAAATCGCAAAAAGATAATCGCAAGCAGAGTCCCCACGGTGAACAGAGAGGAGAACAGCCCTCCAGCTAAGTAGAACATCAACATTCTTGAGATAAACGGGGCTCCGCTGTCTTGATTGAAACCTCCAGGGACAGTAAAAACTGCAGCAAAGTTTATGGTACCAATGAGGACAGACACAATCAACACACTGTTGGCCATTTCCTTCATAGTTTTCTCAGCCTTTTCGTGTACACTCGCATGGTTCGTCTCAAATACTTGTGCTGTTGTCTTCCCCTCAGAATTTTGTAGTTGCCAGAGATATGGATAAGAGTCATACTGCGCTCGCTGTGGAGCCAAATTTCAATGACAAGTTGCAAATAGTCCTGAAGAGAAAATTAAACAATATACAACAGGCAATGCAATATTGGTATTAATTTAATTTGGTACCTTAAACCTGAGGACATCCTAACACCAGGGGAGTGCTGGGAGGGGATCCCAGACTTACTGTGAGATGTATAATGCTATTTCCTTCGTGATCAGTATCACTTAGCATCCTATCCTTGTCAATACCACTAGTCATCAAGTAGTCATACAAGAACCTTTTTTCTCCTCTTCTGCAATTTGCACTATATTCCTTCCTTTTTCATCGAAGGTATACGCAGCTTCAGGGTAGACTCTGAGGATTTCCAGAGCTACCTCACTGTTGCCCATTCTCGTTGCTTGTATTAATGGATCTGGCATCCTATTTTTCTTTTCTGATGGTATTCCAAACTCGATGCCTTCAAGATCTTTGTCTTCTGTATGTACATAGCGGCTCCAATCTTCTTTTCTGATTAATCTTTCTGCAAGCATTACTGGAACTGTATGCCTTTGCTTTGCATCATCAATTTCTTTAAGCCAAGGATTACCCAGTGGACGAATACATCAAATTGGATCAACCATTAATGAACAACTCCAATATGGGCAGATTTGATCAGGGGGATGCAGAAATAGTACTTCAAGATCCATTCCGTGTCCAAGGACTTTTGTTCTTCTTGGCATCTGTTATTTTGGCACAAATCTTCTTGGTTCTTAAAAAGAAATAGTTCGAGCTCGTTCAACTGGCCGAAATGAATTTCTAGACTTGCAATTCCTTGTTTATACATTTTTCTATGAGATGCTGATGAATAAAAAGATACGTGAAATAGAAGGAAATTGAAGAGAGCATGCAGGCCAAGTTGATAGCACTTGAAAGCAAAATGCTTACATTGTTCAGGCATGAGAAAGAAACAAGTTTACTCAAAGGAATAAGACGTTCTTGTAACTAGGAACCTACGCTAGACAAGGCTCTGCTTCAACTCTCAAAAGACGAATTTGGGGAAACAAAATTTTATCAACATATTCTATCATCACTAGCATGAGTGCATATGGAGTAGAGACTAGAAGATGCTTTACCCAAGATAAACTTGACAATAGGAGATCTGTTCAATTTATGAATGGAAGCTGAATTGCTTGGTTCTTCCGCACTATTGAAAGGTCGCGATTCCTTGTACAAGACCGGAATAGCTGCCAGTAACATGATGAACTGATAGTTTCACTCTTTCAAAATTCTGAGGGCATTTAAAGCCTGCTTCCTAGGAAAAACATGCTGGCAGATAAAATGGTAGCTCAAATTTCTTCTCCATAGACCCCAAAATTATTAAACATTGCAATTAGATGATTTTTAACAAGGTTTCCACTTTCCAAGCTAAGCACAAAGCATGTCACCAGAACATACTACACTAACAATTAGTTAAAAAAATTTTAGGGCAAATTTCACTTTACCCCCCTGTGATTTAGCATTTTTTCACATAACCCCCCTATAGTTTCAAAATCTATACATAACCCCCTTATGGTTTGGATTAAAGTGTCAAAGTAACGGAAATAGTCACTCATAACGGCGTCACCTAAAATGTCAAAAATACCCTTATGTAAGGTTGAAATTTATGTATTAACCAAGGGGAGTTATGTATATATTTTGAAAATCATAAGGGGGTTATATGGTAAAATATTAAACCATAAGGGGGTTATATGGTAAAATATAAAAATTATAGGGGGTTAATGTGTCATGTATTTATAAGGGTAATTTCGACATTTTTAGAAGTTCCGTTATGAGTGACTATTTCCGTTATTTTGACACTTTAATCCAAACCATGAGGAGGTTATGTATAGTTTTTGAAACTATAGGGGGGTTATGTAAAAAAAGGGTAAATCACAGGGGGGTAAAATGTAATTTACCCAAAATTTTATCTCCCAGTGGACGAGAGGGAAATAATCATATGCTTAATAAGATCTTCATTGACTTCAAAACCATATTACATTTAGCTTAATGATTATTTTCAATTTGCCTGATCAACTTTACAGGTAGAGTAATTTTTCAAACTAGCACCTGATATCTGTGTCCAATTATATATGTCTCATATCAACAATTTTGCAGGAGACCTCATTTCCCATCCTAATATAACCAAAGTTTCTTTCGGTGTAGGTTGAGAAGAAATGCCTGGAGGGGTAACATAATAGGATGCACCCACGTCAACTACTTAATCACTGTCATGGCAGGTAATATTCACATGACCATCATCACAGAACACAAGCATGTCATCATGTGCTGTCACAATTATTGTAGTCTCTTCACAATGTTTTTTGTTCGGCTTGCCTTTGCCCTGTTCTCAACTTGTTTCCATTTTAAAATTTTGCACTCCTTCATATAATGCCCGTTCTTTTTACAATAAAAGTATGCATTATTGTTTTGCGACTCAGACCTGCATTTGGATTTGTCATTCCTGTTGTTGGATCCTCTAATTTTGTTTCTCTCCCTTTTGTCTTTCTTTTCCATCACCAGGGTTTGAGATTCATTCACAATTCCTTGTTGCTTCTTCTTGACTCCTTCATTCATCATAACCTTTTTTGCTATATCCATGGTCAATACACCATTCAGAGCTAAATTATTGATAGAAATCACCATTGTCTCCCAGTTATCTGACATGAATTGAACAACAGCAAAGTATGTACCTCATCATCCAAGTTCAAGTTCAACATAGTTGCTTGATTTACCAAGCCCTGAAAATTACTCAGATGCTCAGCCATGTCTGCACCATGTTTGTATCTCATCCAAATAATCTACTTCAGACTAGAGACTTTATTTAAAGCGGTCTTTCTTTTGTACATAGTTTTTAACTTTTTTCACAGTACATCAGCTCTAATTTCATTAGCAAAATGTTGGAAAATACTCTGATCAATCCACTTTCTAATATTACCAACAATTTTTCTATGCATAACAGTCCACTTTTCACTCATATCATTTGGTCTACTTTTATCCCCTAAAACAAGCTCAAACATATCTCTACAATACATATTGATTCTTATTCCAGCCTTGCCCCTTATCACATGTTGTTTGATGCTTTCCCCTTGTCATTTTTTAAGCTTATTCCAGCCTCCAGAGTCTGGTTTCCAATTGTTCCTTTAGTCTACTTCACATTTTGCCAGTTCGTATGAGTAATATGAAGTGGATTTTGATCCTTTGCTACCTCATATGTTAGGCGACGTGAATGTTTGTGTCAAGTATAGTCCGAAAGGTGTTCCTAACTTGCTGAATCATGCCCCTTTGTGTGTTTGGTTCCATGTTCCTTTCGAGCTCACATACATCCTACGATTGCACAAATGACATATGGAATGGCTAGTCATCATAAAGTTGTTTCCAATGTTGATGCTATCCAAACGAGCCGTTGATTTGGGGACAAATCTCTTTCAAGAGAAGGGGAATGATGCAAACCCGATTTCTCAAGCATCATGTTTCCAATGAAGATTCAAGAACATGTTATTTCCAACTTGTTCCAAGTTTGAGCCAAACCAATTTCAAGTTTAAACTCTTGAAGTCGTTTTTTTCCTTTAGCTTCCAGCCATATTAGTTGATGGAATAAAGGCTATCATCAAGTCATTGATATTGGTACAAGTGAAGAAATTGCAACCCGAAACTGTTCCAAGTTTAATGCTTTAGTCGTTTGTTTAGTTAAATTTTCAGCTTTGTTAGTCATTAGTTAAGAGTTGGTTTAAGAGTTAAATTAAGTTGTTTAATTAGGACATAAAGGGCAGATCATGTTGACCTATATTGGAGCCGAGTTAGAGTTTTAGAAAAGTAGCAATTGTTTCCATATTTGATTAGGATACTTGTGTCTTGTAAAGGTTATAAATAAAGCCTTTTCTAACGTTATTTAATATATGAATAAAAGTGATGTTTTCCAACCAATTATTGGTGTGAAGAAAGAGTTCTCTCTTGGCTTTTTAGAACCAACCCCTTGAATACTTTAGAGTTTCTTGAGTGTTTATCAATCCAAGACTACGTTGAATTATGGGACCCCTATCTCATAAATTTAGTTCTTTAATTCAATTAGTTATGGGTTGAAATTATATCAATATATTCGTGACTTCTAAAATTAATTAGGGTTATGACAGGTTGTCGGCCTGTGCAATAATAAAACCTGCTCAAACTAAAAGTAATTTTTGTAGATAGCGGTGAGCAGGGTCGAATCCACAGGGACTGGGAGTAATTGTTTCTTTTCAAATTCACGTTGACAAGGGGGTGTTTTTATATCAAGGGTGACAATTTAAACAATTCAGTTAAAAGTAAAATAATAAATAAAATAGCCAACTAAAAATTAAATAACAATTTACTAAAATCAAATGAGTGATAATTAAGTATCTAGCCAAGGAATAACTTCAGCAATGGTTCACCTAATTGATCATTGAAACAAAGGCAATTCCAATTATTTAGTAATAAATATGTTATAACTGCCAAACAAACGATGACAGTCAACCCCTCCTTACTGTGTCGGTGATTAAGGTACGCCCGTTAATAACTACTCTAATTGAGAAATAATCTTAGGTACACCCGTAAGATTTAATTCCCCAATTGCCTTACGTATTAGAGGAGCCCTATTCTAACCAAATAACACACTACCAGGGTTATTTTAGGTTAGCCCGCGTATTCTCCTGACACAAATTCAATCATGCCAATTATCACTATTTTAAGACAATTAAATAATTACGGATTTAACGTCCCAATTGACAATAGATTATCAAATTAACTAATTATCCGGATTCAAGACAATCAATTAATTAAACAATCATAAGCACTGTAACCAGGGAATATGCGAATACCAATAAATAAAAGAAAAAGGTAAAATTAAATCGATCTCACAATTTTAGGTGAGCCAAATCATCCGTTGCTCCTTAACTAGAAAAAGGGATTTAACTCATTATTGATGAAAAAATCCTATGCAAAACTACATAAATAGTTGTGACATAAATTCTCCCAATTAGGAAGGAAGAAACGATGGAAAACCGAATAATGGAAAGAAACACTGCTCAGTCAAAAAGATGATGACCCCTTATTTCTACCTAAGTGTAACATACATGGACTCAAAACCACTAAAGGATGAAATTGTCCAAAGCCCAAGAGAAGTCTTCTGCTACTCCCCGTACCTATTGAATTACTAATCTATTCTAATGCTTGGCTCTCATGTGCGCGGCCCACCAGGAGAGAAATGACTCCAGCCTTTTGTGCTTCTTTTTTGAATGTTGTCTTCCGCAAATTACCAGAAAGGACTTGTGTTTTCTTGTTCCAAAAATACCCCTGAAGACCTTCCATTTAAATTCTTTCCCGATGACTGTCAAATTGGTCTTGATTGTGATATTTTGTTCTATTTCCTGAAATAAATGTAAATTACGAAAAATGAGTAGAATCTAATAATTAATCCACATCAGGTCAGGTAATAGGGAAAATTAATAATAAAATAAATAATGAAATTGTAACCAATCAATTCCCCCCACACCTAAACCATGCTTGTCCTCAAGCATGAGAACAATAAACAAACACCAATATTTGATAGTGGCTATTGCTCTATCCACCAAATTGCCAAGATACCAAGAAAAATAATAATCAAGCATCAATGGTCAAGTCCAAGAAACATCACTCTGGCTAGCTTCTAAACCATAAACTCTTCCAATTTCAGGTTAACTAATATAAGAAAAAGGAGTGGTCGCTCAACATTTATCAGCGAATGGTCCAACTATTAACCAAAATCTCAACATTAAATCCATAAATCGGTAAACTGACTTTTATCACACATTAACACAACCATCACCTTTTTTTCATTTTTTTTCATTTTTTTTTCAATAGTAACACAAGACTTAGTTTTATAACCATAGGAGCCTTTTGATGCGAACTCTAATATTTATCTGATGAAAGAGCCCGATTACTTAGCTTCTATCGCCATGTGACCACATACTCATAGCATTTACTACTTTTTGACGCGAGAATCGACACTTTAGGTGAAGATCCCCGGTTACTCGGTAGTAGCAACTAGTGGAGCACAATCAACTCTTATTTATACCCACATAGCACGATAACTAAAAATAACACAAGAGTAACAGCAGCCAGCCTCAAATTTTCAAATATGGAGAACTAAATTTAATAACCAGACCAATTCACATGAAAAAGCCAACAATTGTTCCCTATGCCTAGAATAGTTAACCAAAAAGTAAAAGAGTCAAGCAATTACTGATATTCATCAAAGAGAAGTCCCTGAACTAAATCACATTAACTTGATACCCTGTTATTATTAAAACTTTGGCAATAGCAGAAATATAGGCAACAATCCAACATCAAACCTTGGCATGCACATACGAGCTAATTGCTAAAAAAAAAAGGAAGAAAATGAACGAGAGATGGGCAAATAACAAACTACAAATAAAGAGGAAAAAATCTAAAAATAAAAAGTAGAAAAACTAGCACAGCTGTCCTCCCCCCACACCTAAATCCTACATTGTCCTCAATGGAGGAAATAAAGCAATTAAAGCAAAAAGGGCAACGAAACTTCCCTCACGAGTGGCTAAAAGGGTAGGCAGGAATAGTGCACGGAAATCGATGTGATGGAAGTACACGGCCAAATTCTGAGATATCTCAACTCAATTCAACCAGCAAATGCAAAACTTTGTCCATCCAAAATCTCAACAAATGGCTCCAGTTGGCTAGTTAATGCCTTAACTCAGAATCAGCAATTTCAACAATGACAGCTTAGATATTTGACAATAATAACTCAACCAACCAAATAGAGGTACCCAATTGAGGTCCAGTTATCCCACCAGTACCACTGGTGTAGCAAACAACTGAAAAGAAACCACACACGACCAATACCAAGTCACTGATAAACCAAAATAATAACTAACACTGCCAACAATTGAGGACTGAGTTACAAATACCTCCACTGGTCGTCGAGGGAAGAAGCGGGAATGGAAGAGAGAGAGAGTAGCGCGCAAAATAGCCGAGCGATAGGCTGCCGCAGCTGACTGCTGGGGCTGTTGGCGGCGGCGACGGCCGCGGGAGAGAAAGAGAGAGAGATGCGCAAGGGAGCTGCGGTGGTTGCCCGAGTGAGAGGAACGGCGGCAAAGTGGTGGCCAGGAGGCGGCGTGCGCTTGCGTGGTGAGATGGAGGAGCGATCAAGGCTGAGGTCGCGCGCTTGATGGCCGGCCATGGGCTACGGGCGGCGGATGAGGAGATGGCGGCGATGGAGGGGCTTCGAGTGACACAAAGGAGAACAGGGGAGAAGAAAGAAAGAAGAAAGAAAGAAAAAGAGAGAAAAGAAAGAAAGAGAAGGAAAGAAAGAAAAAAAAGAGAAAAACAAAATAGTTTGTTTTTTCAAATTTTTTTGTGCGTTCGGGTTTTTTTTTTATTAAATAAAAATTTGTACTTTGGAAATCTAAGTTACAGTGAATGAAAAAAAATTTTAAAAAAATTTTTATTTATTTTTTGATTTTTTTTTTTGCAAATTTTATTTTCGAAATTCAAAATTAGATATTAACAGAGAATCAATAACCGTTCTTGAGTTTTTTGAATACTTACCTTTCTCGCGAATGTGACGTGGGCACGTGATGAAGGCACGGAATGAGGAGTTCTCCAGCTGGTTTGACGCGGGCACGTCATGAGGGCAAGAACCCTTCTAACCACGAGCTCTCCATACGACTTGAGACGCCCTACAAATCATCAAAAATGAACATTGAAGCCATAAATCAGTCAAACTCAAGGAAAACATATTTAAACTAACAAACAACTAAAAGAAATTGGGTTGCTTCCCAATGAGCGCCTTTCTTTAATGTTTTTAACTAGACATTGTCATGTTTGTTCAAGGAGAATAAAATCTTGTGGCTCGTTTCAGTGCTTCATCCTCTGTATAATCCTGATAGCCATCGTAAATAAAGTCATCCTTGAGCACATGAGCTACGGTCTTCCATGGACTAGTAAATGGCGCCAAACAAGTCAACGATAGTTTGAATTCTCCATTCACTCCTCCCTCACGTGCATTTATTAGTTCAAGATATCTTGTCATCGCTACTCTTAATTTATTCCTATCATGAAATTTAAAATTTTCTGGTATAATAAAGTCAATCTCACTAACAGGAATTGAAGAATAAGAGTCAGGAGAATACTGATTAAGGAATATGGGAGATGTCACCGCTTTTGGATATTATTCACTAGATTCATTCACTTGAACGAATTGATGTTGAGGCCTCATTTCTTGCACTTCAACCTCCTTTTCAGCTGTATCTTTAGATCCATTTTCTTCAAACTCTTGCAATTCCATGTCATTTGTCCGGATAAATACATCCTCATCTTTCTTAACGTCGACGATGGTTTATGAGGGCAATTCTTCATAATTTAAAAGTCTCCCTTGGACTTGGGATTCTAGACGGTTAATTGCTATCATCAATTGATTTACTTGAATTTGCAATGACTGCACTTGTCCCAATTAACTGCTTCATCATTTCTTCTAGAGACGGACCTGGCATAAATGATAGTTGTTGAGACTCTTGTTATTGAAAATCCATCGACCACATTTGATATTGAATTGAAAAATCTCCAAAAGTATCGATTGGAGCACTTAAACCATCTTGAAATATAGGGTATATGTCGATTGAATGATTTGAGACAAAATAACTTTCACAATTTGCAACAGCCAATTAGTCATTAGAAAAAACATAAGTCTCATAACTCCATTCAGGAATAAAATTCAGTCTATCATCAAAATACGAAATGTTAGCAGTCATAAACCATAAAAAAAGGTAAAAGAAAAAAAAGAAAGAAAACAGGATGAACTCAAAAAGAAACAAATTAATTAAGCACCAGTCCCTGGCAACGGCGCCAAAAATTGACAGATTGTCGGCCTGTGCAATAATAAAATCTGCTCAAACTAAAAGTAATTTCTGTAGATAGCGGTGAGTAGGATCGAATCTACAGGGATTGGGAGTAATTGTTTCTTTTCAAATTCACAGTGACAACTGGGGTGTTTTTATATCAGGAGTGACAATTTAAATAATTCAGCTAAAAGTAAAATAATAAAAATAAAATAGCCAACTAGAAATTAAATAACAATTTATTAAAATCAAATGAGTGATAATTAAGGATCTAACCAAGGAACTTCAACAATGGTTCACCTAATTGATTATTGAAACAAAGGCAATTCCAATTATTTACTAATAAATAGGTTATAACTGCCACACAAGCGATGACAGTCAACCCCTCCTTACTGTGTCGGTGATTAAGATACGCCCATTAATCACTATTCTAATTGAGAAATAATCTTAGGTACGTCCGTAAGATTTAATTTTCTAATTGCCTTACGTATTAGAGGAGTCCTATTCTAACCAAATAACACACTACCGGGGTTATTTTAAGTTAACCCGTGTATTTTTCTGACACAAATTCAATCATGCCAATTATCACTATTTTGAAACAATTAAACAATTACGGATTTAACGTCTCAATTGATAATAGATTATCAAATTAACTAATTATCCGGATCTAAGACAATCAATTAATTAAACAATCATAAGCACTGTAACCAGGGAATATGCAAATACCAATAAATAAAAAAAAATAAAATTAAATCGATCTCACAATTTTAGGCGAGTCAAAGCACCCGTTTCTCCTTGACTAGAAAAAGGGGTTTAGCTCATTATTGATGAAAAAATTTCATACAAAACTGAATAAATAGTTGCGACGTACATTCTCCCAATTAGGGAGGAAGAAACGGTCGAAAATCGAATAATGGAAAAAAAGACTGCTTGGTCAAAAAGATGATGACCCCTTATTTCTACCGTAAGTGTAACATACGTGGACTCAAAACCACTAAAGAACGAAATTGTCCAAAGCCCAAGAGAAGTCTTCTGCTACTCCCTGTACCTATTGAATTACTAATCTATTCTAATGCTTGGCTCTCATGTGCGGCGGCCCACCAGGAGAGAAACGACTCCAGCCTTTTGTGCTTTCTTTTTGAATGTTGTCTTCCGCAAATTACCAAAAAGGACTTATGTCTCCTTATTCTAAAAATACCTCTGAAGACTTTCTATTTGAATTCTTTTCCGATGACTGTCAAATTGGCCTTAATTGTGATATTTTTATTCTACTCCTTGAAATAAATGTAAATTACGAAAAGTGAGTAGAATCTAATAATTAATCCACATCAGGTGAGGTAATAGGAAAAATTAATAATAAAATAAATAATGAAATTGTAACCGATCAGGTTATGTTTTTTCGTTGCCAAATCATAGGTATTAATCGTCTAGATCTTGGGCTTGTGATATACAGGTTTCATCTCTAACGAGATTCATATCACAAATAGTCTTTCATTCTAGGCTTTCAAATCGAATAATAAGTTGCATTTAATTTTAACATACAACCACTATCTGAATCATCTATTTTAACTAGTACAAATGAGTAGGCCATCTAGGTTGTTCTTGTACCACTTTGTTATGAAAGGGATACAGGTTCAGGTTACATGATAGATTGTAATTTTATCATTTATTTTATTATTAATTTTTCCTATTACCTGACCCGATGTTGATTAATTATTGGATTCTACTTACTTTTAGTATTTTACATTTATTTCAGGGAGTAGAACAAAAATATGATAACAAGTGCCAAGTTGACAGAAGAGGAGTACAAATAATAGAGCTTATTTCAGGGGCATTTTTGGAAAAGAAAAACTGATCCCCATTTTGGTAATTGCTGCAAAGGCAAGGACGGCGGAGGGCTTCTTTTTACCTGGTGTAGGCTGCCATAGAGAATTAGCACAAGCACTTTTGGGAGTTGCTTTTGTGGACTTTTCCTCCTTTTTGGTTCTAAGTTCTTAGTAGTTTTTTATCTTCTTGGTACGTAGGACTTTTAGCTTAGTTTATCTTTTGACTCTTCCTTTGAGTCTTGGGTGGATTTCTCCTGCACATGTCAGGAGCAATTGGAGGATTTAATCACTTTCTGTATTCTTTTACCAATTGAACGAATTGAACGACCTCGATCAAAGACAATGGCCGCGACTTTCTCTGCAATTTTGTATGGGTTTTTCGCGTCAAATATGAACTAATTTTTTCACTCTAGTCAAGAAACAATGGAGACTTTAGTTCGCCTAAAAATTGTCAGATCAATTTAATTTTATCTTTTCTTTTTATTTATTGGTATTCGCATATTCATCGATTGCAGTACTTATGATTATTTAGTTAATTGATTATCTTAAATCCGGATAATTAATTGATCTGGTAATCTATTGTCAATTAGGGCATTAAATCCGTAATTGTTTAATTGTCTTGAAATAGTGACAACTGGCATGATTGGACTTGTGTCAGGGGGATACGCAGATTAATCTGAAATAACCCTGGTAGTTCGTTATTTGATTAGAATAGGGCTCCTCTAATACGTAAGGCAATTGGAGAATTAAATTTTATCGGCGTATCTAACATTATTTTCCAATTAGAGCAGTGATTAACGGACGTACCTTAATCACCGACACAGTAAGGAGGGGTTGACTATCATTGCTTGTTTGGCATTTATAACCTATTTATTAATAAGTAACTGGAATTGCTTGTGTATCGATGATCAATTAGGTGAACCATTGTTGAAGTTATTTCTTGGCTAGACCTTTAATTATTGCTACTCTAATTTTAGTGAATTGTCATTTAATTTCTAATTAGCTATTTATTTTTATTTGAATTTTTTTGATTATCCTCGTTCATACAAAAACACTCCCTGTGTTACTTTGAATTTCAAGAGAGACAAATATCCCCAATTCCTAAGGATACGATCCTACTTGCCCCGTTTACAAATTAATAATTATTTGTGAAAAATTCATCCCAATCGGGTATATTGGATCAAGCAAACTCTTCGAAAATAGGGTGAATCAAGTAACTCATTGCACACCTAGAGTCCCTGCTCCAGTATTTGGAATCAGGTTTTGGTTACTTTAACTGACAATTAGATTTATTTTTATTATTGTACAAGTTTCGACAACTTGGCAATTTTTGGCGCCGCTGCCAGGGGCTGGTGTCAGTTATTTGTTTCTTTTTTACTTCATTTTTGTTCTAATTTTCTGATATTTTTCGAGTGTATGCCTCATTTTTCTCGTACAAGTAAATTAATATTCGACCCCGAGGTAGATAAAACTGCACGTAAAATAAGAAAAGAGACCAGACAACTCAAAGAAGAGCACTCAAGTGCTGCATCTCAGGAACTTGAGCCAAAAGTTGAACCAACAGATTCGTTTAGTGACACTTCGAGTGACTCGGATCAAGAAGAAGTCACTATGGCGAATGCACAAACATTTGCTATCTTTCCATGGTCTATCAGGTGAGGAGCTTTATAAGCATTTACAAGAGTTTGATGTCGTGTGTAACAGTATAAAGCCCCTGAGAATCAAGAAGAGCAAATAAAAATGAAGGCATTCTCCTTCTCCTTGAAGGATTCTGCAAAAGGCTGCTATACTACTTACCACCAGGTAGTATCACCACGTGGAACCAGCTGAAGAAAACGTTCTTAGACAAGTATTTTCCCGCGTCTTGAATTGCAAGTCTAAAAAAGGAGATCTGTGGTATCAAGTAGCATCCAAGGGGGTCGCTTTTTGATTACTGTGAGCGATTAAAGAAATTGTGCATCAAGTGTCCCTAACACCAAATAAGTAAGCATTTGCTCATACAATATTTTTACGATGGGTTACTTTCAAGAGACAGGAGTATAATTGATGCTGCGAGTGGAGGGGTATTGGTGAACAAAACTTCTCGGGAAGCACAGGAGCTAATAGAAAGAATGGCTGAGAATTCGAAGCAATTTGATACGAGGGAGGATGTTTCGATACGTAAGGTGAATGAGGTAGAGACATCCTCTATCCAACAGCAGTTGATTGAGTTGACTTCTTTTGTTAGGCAACTGGCTGTAGGAAATGCATCTCAAACCAAGGTGTGCGGGATTTGCACTGGTATGAGTCATTTTACGGAGATGTGTCCACTAATTCAAGAGGAAAATGCGGAGCAAGTGAACATGGCTGGTCACGCGCCCGCGCTAAGAAAGCCCTATGACTCGAAATATGTATAATTCCGACTGGAGAGATCACCCCAATTTCAACTATGGAGGACATAGACAGCCCAATTTTGCACCAAATAGGCGGCAAAGATACCAACAACAGTACCAATCTCGTTCGCCACCACCCCCTTCAAACTCAAGTCCGTCTATGGAAGAGATGATGAAGCAATTAATTGCTAATCAACAAAAGACGGATTCTGACCTACAAAGTATGAGGAATCAACTGGACCAGATACAAGAAGTGCAAAGTCAAATGAGTCAGATGGCAGTGGTAATCAACCACATAGAATCCCAAATTTATAAAAAATTGCCGTCTTAATCTGAATTGAACCTGAAGAATGTAACTGCAATAACTTTAAGGAGCGGGAAGGAAATTCAGGAGTCCAAACTCATGACTCCAAAGGACAAGGGCGAAGAGAAGATTGAGAAAGAGCTTGA